GGCTACATCGTCGAGCACAGATCCATTGAGAAACTTGCTGTTTCAGCAACATTTAATTTAAAAACTGTACTTTTATAATTAAACTAAGGTTCATAATTAATTTCAATAAATTACAAGTTAAGAAGGGCATGGGCATTTCTCCTTTTTGTATCAAAAAGTAAATTGTACCGTGAGACTATCAAACCAAGTTGCACCCCTAATATATATACATACTATATATAACAAAATGTTGAGACCTCACAGAGGAGCCGGATCTTTCTAATTGTATCARTAATTTTCTACCATGCTGTCTTCATCCCACTTCTGTTTCAACAAGTATGCCATGTAAAAATAAAAATTCATATTGTGATAAAGCAGCAACCTGAAACATACTAAAAAATGCAGAAGTGTTTTTTTTTCAGTGTTTCACAAGTCTGAACCTGCACTTTAAATGGAGAGCCCACTAAATGGTTTTTGACAAGTTATCCTAATCGTTTCTGACAAGCATTAAAGGGAGAAACTTTGAAATAAAACATGTTAAATGTTTGAAAAACTTGAAAAAAAAATTTGGTACCAAGGGTAAATGTAAAGAGTAATGGTACAAATAATTATAAAACATTTTATTCACCTTTCAAAACACTCCAGACACATTCTCATTAAACTAGGCAAATTTAATAATTAAAACAGGCAAATATGCACATCCAAGTTAAAGCAAATCCGTTCAAACAAATGCATGTGTTGAAATAAAAATATGTAAAAACAAAACATGTCCAGGAATGACCAGCTTACACAGATGAGTTTTGAGTCAGGTTAAAAATGGAAGCAAATATTTTAGCATAAAGGAGAAAAATTCCGGAGCTTGACGCTATTGCAGCTGAATGCTCTCACCCACAACGTGGCTTGGATGCCAGAATAAAGAGCTGCAAAAAAAAAGGGGGAGGAGGAGGAGGACTGGTGCATTCAGGTTGGAGTGCAAGGCTGTAGCATTTCAGAGAGGTGCAAGGTTATAAAGAGCTTTGGAAGTGAGGAGGAGAATCTTAAATTCAGTGTGATGAGGAACGGGGGGAGCCAGTGGAGGTGTGGCGGGGTTGTGTTCAGGAGAYGGGGTTCWGGTGACAAYGTGAGCAACAGACTTTTGCCAACTYAAGCTCAGCGATATGTTTGTACGATAGACCAGAGAGTAGAAAATGGCCGTAATCGAYACAAGAAATAACAAGGGCATGAGGGAGAGCTGCACTGTTGTCTGGTAGCAGGATGGTTGATAGTGTTTGGCAAATGTCAACAGAAAGAAACTATTGATGTTTTTTTTTTTTTTTCAAAAGTAAGTGTGCTATCAAACTGACATGGTAGACAGATTATATAATCATCAGCAGTAACTGAGAAAATAGTGACATTAGGAGACAATGGCTTTAGGGYCAACAGGCATTTTTTGAGGAATTTTTGCCTGTTCAGTTTATAAAGTAAATTTCTCTTGAACAGTTRGACAAATATTTGTTTTAAAAGCAGGTTTAAAACTGGTACCTGATGTTTTAGGATYAGTGTATTTTGATTATTATTTTGATTATTCTTTTAAGCATTATAGTGTTTGCTTTAATTTGTTATTCCATATTTAGTTCTGTGTTGATCAGTTCAGTTAGATCCTGCTCCTCAGCGGAGTCCCACCCACTCTCACCTGTTTCCATTATTCAGCTCAGTTGTTTCTGTTTTCTTTGTTTTGTTAGTCTGACAGKAATTGTCTTCTATAACCAACATATTCAGGTTTTCTGTATCCAGCTCTGTATCCTGGTGAGTTGTTCTGAGTTTGATTTTTTATTTTATTTTAGTGTTGTCTAATGTGCTGCCACGTCGGCCTTTTGTTCTTTTTTTAGCTTTAAAATAAAGTCCTCACCTCTGTTTACATCTGGGTCCATCTGCAAAACACTCCATCCACCTTCACATTTAAATGTAAATTTAGCCGTTAACTTCACATGAAGACTTAGAAGGAGTGAATGCCTTAACTTATATTTCATCTCATTTCTTTGTAATTTTCTTGTATAAGTATTATGTGCAACACATTTCTTTAACTGACTGACTGACTGACTGACTGACTGACTGACTGACTGACTGACTGACTGACTGACTGACTGACTGACTGACTGAGGGAGTGAGTGAGTGTTAGTGAGCAATAAGTAAGTAATAAATAAATATAAATAAATAATCATAAAGAAACTTTCCTACTTACTTAAGAAAATAAGTAAGTAATAAA